ACATACTCAATACTGTGGACAATCCCCACAGGAGCAATTTGGGGTGAAGTGTCTCAGGGACACAACGACATGCTGACTGCAGTGGGGTTTGAACCTGTGACCCCCTGATCCAAACACTAACGCACAACCCACTGCACCACACGCCTCCCATAAACTTAGCTGAAGTTAACTAGCTAGATTTCACTGTTTCTCGTTATTTTTTTCTCACGCTGCGCCTCCCCTGAAGCTCTCTGGCGCCCCCCCGGGGAGGCGCGCCTCACACTTTGAAAACCGCTGCTCTGGACGGATGTCCCACTGATCCTGGAGCTTGTCAGCCTTTTGGAAAATGTGCTTTCAAAAACAAACGAGGCCGCACCGAGGCCCTGTGGCACGCCGATAACGGCTTTACTGCTTCCTGCAGGTCAGAGGTCAGGGAGCAGGCCGCCCCATTATTACCAGAGAGGGGTGGGGGGGGGGAGGAGGTGAGGCAACAGGAGGTGTCAGCTAGGGCTGTCAACATGGAGGGGTCGGGACAGAGTGGGGAGGAACACTGCACGCACGCACACGCAAAGAGAGAGAGGGCTTCTGAGGGGTGAAAACATATTTTGGGCGTCTCTAATTCTGTGTTTCTGTAAATCCAGCTCTGTATTTTGATACTACAAACCTCTGAGCCAACATGAGCTGTTTATTCAGGTTAACTGTGCGGACTGAAAATACTCTAAGCTGCAGCAGAACAAACACCGGTACTAAAGATAACATCAGGGATTTAAAAAGTCAGATCAAACTAAATTTAGTGCTTGATCTTACCTAAGATGCATGTTTTGGTTTCAACAACAATGAAAGATGTAATTGTTGAAAAAGTTTGTAGGACTACAGGTTTGTAAAAAGTAATTCCGAGTATTTTGTCTGATATTGCAATTTGATTCCAGATATTGGAGGGATTGTAATTGTTGCATTATAATTCACATCTTTAAAAAATCTATTGAAATAATCATCATGTGATTTCTTTTATGTGATTTGTTAAGCATAAATTTTTCATTTAAAATGGTCATTAAACACATTTAGCCTTTAACAAACATTGTGCTTTCTGCGATTTGAATGATACACTAGTGAGTCCATATTGAGATTTTTTTTTAAAAGTCAAATAATTGTGCAGTCCAAATGTTTAGATTCATTTAGATTTAATTTGCCGTCAAACACAAATGAGTAAGAATTTAAAAAGTCATAAGTATTTGTTAACTCCAAGTCTACAGCAAAGACCGTTAAATCCTTCTGTCCTGTGCAGTTCATTTGGAAGAGGGCCATGACCCAAACATGTTCAGTCATCTCAGTCCTGATTCATTTACCCCTGTTCCCACCTGCCACCACAAATCTGTCTGAAGCAGAGTTTGAAAAGCCTGGTGTGGAAAACTAATGGAAACGGATGCTACGGAAAGGTGTTCAAGCCTTTGTCCAGCCTGGTTAACGATGCACTGTATTTGTGGACACACCAGTGTGCTATGATGCATCCTTTTCAGGAGTGGAAACACACACGTTAATGTTAAACCTACTGTAATACGAGAGCGTTTTAATTAAACTTCTAGCGCAACAAATAAACTCTTATAGTACACGTGTATATTTTGACATCCCTATAAACAAACCTGGTGATTCATACTTGATAGTGGTGCTGGAACTAAATATCCACAGCTCAATGTGAGTATTGAAAGACCCACTTGGGCTAAAATAGATTATCCTGGACTGACACTTGTTGAAGAGTGATAATAACTTTATGTCTAATTTGAACAAAGACACATATCCAGCAGCAGTAGAGCTTCATGGTTTTATCGCTGCTGGAACTGTGACATTTTAATGGTGTGTAATGTTCGAGTGTCAGAGATTTTATGGAACCTTAAAGTGGACCCATCATGCTATATTTGAATAATATAGTGTAGGACCATACCTATATAAGGCATATTTATACTTTTTATTTTTCAAAATACCAAACAGATCATGCATTTTAGCCATTCCATGAGGAATGGCTAAAATGCATGATCTGTTTGGTATTTTGAAAAATAAAAAGTATAAATATGCCTTATATAGGTATGGTCCTACACTATATTATTCAAATATAGNAGGTTCAAAACCATGTTGTGTACAGCCAAGGACAGCCCAGGGTAACACACACACACACACACACACACACACACACACACACACACACACACACACACACACAATGAACTGAGCTGACAGCTGCTTGATACAGGCCTGGGACCTACGCTCACGATGTGGTGACTGACAGGAAGGTGAGCTGGCCGATGTGCTTCGGGAGCCCTGATTGGTCCAGACTGCCTCAGATAGAGAAGAAGTCCCTCAGAGTGAAGGTAAAGTCTTGACTCCAAAATGTCAAAATATACTAATAGAGGCATTTTGATTGTGCTTTACCATATCCATATTCCAGCTAAATCCTAAATACTGGATGATGTTTTTCGACATATTATGCTATGACTTTTTTCAGATAGATTCAACATACTATACAAAGGCCTATGAGTTATTTTGACCATACTATGACTTTTATTTTTTCGACAAACTACCATACTATGAGTTTTTTTTATTAATTATTTCGACATACTATAATGTCCAGAGTTCACAACCTATACCCCGAATGTAGCAACATGTAATATTATTGTGTTTCAGCTAAACAATGAAAAGGAGTTCATGAAGCACAGAAGGAGAGTGGCCTACCTGAGTCTGTACTATCCATTGTAAAGTTAATTGACAAATGCCAATACAACATTGACTTAAGAAGTTTCCTTTTTCAAATGTTTTAAACTAAATATTTACCAACGATGTAATGGTTGTAACTGTTGTCAGAAATTGATGGGTATATAAAGAGGAACAAAAGATATAGAAGCTTATTTTTTCTTTATTCACAAAATGACTGTATTGTTTGTTTTTTACACCGTGATGTTTCTTACAATTTTTTTGACAAAGTGAGTTCTTGCTGAAAAATGGAAACAAAAAAGATCTCTTCAATAGAAGTCCGTCGGTATACAAAAATCCAACAGCAGTGCTGGTCCCATCGACACTGATCGCTGTGGCAACTGAGAGTCTGAGGTTCATAAAGAGCTCATTTCTTCCTCCTGACTTTGGGCTTCTTGACGGGCCGGAGGTAAGGGTTGTCGATCACGCTGTCCTCCGTGGCCTTTACGGAGGGAACGACGCTGCTGGGAGGAAGCATGGAGTTCTCTTTGTCCGCATCTGGATCATCCTGAGAGGGAAACGGAAACATTTTTTTAAGAGCTATCGTTGCTAAACACTACCATACACGCTGATCACATTTACAGCATTTATTTTGCTTTACTGCTGGGTGATTTAGAATCTCACCTCTCTTAAAATGTTCTCAAAATATGTGGCTTTGGTAATATGAAATATTTATTATGTATAGACACGTGTAATCAAGAGGACACATTTTATTATTTTAACTCAGTTTTTGCGCGTTCTTGTCTGTAAGCTTTTGTCGGTTTACCCGTTTCTGTGATTCTATGTCACCTTAAACTGATTATCTGCTTTGCTCTATGTTCTGTTCCTTCATTTTAAGTGGTCACATTTCAAATGTTTGAGCTGACTGCATACTTCACATTACCTTCCTGTTGAATGTCTTACTTTGACTTCATTTGTTTGAGATAATATTTTTTTTTTTCCCTTAACAATCGTCATTACTTTAAGAAAAAAAGAAGTTTAACGAACTACCCTGTGATATTTGATCGACATACTATAATGACTTTTTTACTTGACTAGGACTTCTTTTTGAAAATACTATACTATGGCTTTCCATCCTTTTTTTGATGACTTAAAGTCTGACTTTTGGGGATTTTAGGTAAGGTTTCCTTTGACTTTATTTTGGACATTCTACTATGACTTTATTTTGAAATACTAAATTATGACATTTTTACTCTAAATTTTTTTTTGTTGACATATACAAGTATTTTGTTGTTTTCAGTGACTTACATTGGTGATGTTCCCTGCTGCGTTCTCGCTGTCGGTCTGGTCGTCCTGCTCCGAGGAGTCCGTCTCCTCCAGAGTCTGCAGCTCCAGCTCCGAGGGCAGGAGCGCGCTGAGATACGGGATGGAGCTCGGCTGGGCTGCGATCACTGAGAACACAATCACAGAGATAAGCGATGACGTAAAAACAAATACGACTTCCCGTGGCAGAACAGACATGAAGCTGCAAACCATGGATTACTGAACTGCCTTCAGACACAGCGCTGGCTTTGACCTGCAAAATGACTCAAGTCCCTCGATGGACAAAAACAACTAGGAAGAAACGCTTCTTTAAAAAGTATTAAAATGACCAGAGAGAAATATACAAAGACTTCCAAAAGATTTAAAACAGCGGCCATGACACTTATGACGACTGAAAAGCAGCGAAACCAACAGAGAGGACATAAAGTACACAAAGACACACAAAACAACAAGAATGTAAAGTGTGCGCTTTGCTCTTATTAAGAAATGGTTGGGCCCATGGTTTCATAACTCTCCTGTTGCAACAGAGTTTGGAAAGACAGGCTCTCTTGTTGTAATCACTCACATGGGAAGGCAGTGATGTCGTCTTTGAAAAGGCTCTGGGTCTCCCCGGTCTTCGCCATGAAGCGAGTGAGCGCTCGCTCCACGTCTCTCCTCTGACTCGCTGCCTTCTCTCTCACAACTTGGTAGTCCGATACAGGCTCTCTGAATGTCTGAGTGGAGATCAAAAATGAATGACAAACACTTCACCTTCTGAACTTCATCCGTTAGACCTTTTTCCTCTCAAGGGCCATTTCAATTTTTTCAAAATCCTCCAAGGGCCGTACAAATTATTGAACTCAACCTCTGCTTAAAAATACTAAAATCACAGCCCATTAATTTCGCCTTTCTTTCATGCTGTGCAAAGAAAAAGCAACCTCTTAATCCAGATATTTTACCATGACTCGCGTATGCATGCACGTGCACGGTTGTGGCAGGAACACCAAAACAGAAAGATATGGACACAAGATGTGTGCAAATGTATTTAGTTTCCTATCCATGTGGGCATGATTTAAGTGGGGGGGGGACCTAACCTCCTCTAGGGGGGTCCCCTATGCTCCCCCGGGAAGATTTTTTTTTAAATGTTGAAGTTAAAAGCATCAATCTGGTGCACTTTGAAAGCAACATTAGGAGATCTATGGATACATCTCTCAACACCCATATGAAACAGAACTGTTTTTTTTCTTTATGGATATTTTACAAATCACTCTCCTTTCAAACTGTATTCTTGTTTATTAATAACAACTTTTTTTTAACTTTCATATAGTATTTTATACCTGTTAACTTTATTCTCTTGTTTTCTTATAACTATAATGATCATATAAAGTTGTGCCTTTACCTCACTGGTTGGAGAAAAAGCTTCTTATATTCGTTAGCATAGCTAGCTAACCAGATGCTAATAACAACAAAGTTATTGACTGTATGATCAGTATGACAGATGAACAGATCGCCACTGGGCTTACTACTAAAGACAGAGCCACGCAGAAACTGCGGCATGTGTACGGCTCCTTATGGGTACTGCCATTTTTGGAAGTGCCGGAGTGGTGTTCTGGTGCTCTCCGTCAGAACTGCACCCCTGTCAGACGAGACATATACCACGTGATGACACGTTAGGCTCGTGTTGTGTTCAAGGACCCTGACCTTGGCCAGGAAAAACCGGCACTCCCTTGTTTAATTTTTTTGCGGTCTAGATTTCTTAAATTTTTCTTTTTTGCGTGTGTTTATAAATTACCTCAAGGGCCCTACCTAATGGTCTCGCGGGCCGTATACGGCCCGGGGGCCGGAGGTTCCCCACTCCTGCGTTAGACATTAAGAAGGGCTGGCTGGCTAACGCCCTGATGAGTGGAGCAACTGAAGGTCAACATTATATATTTAATGGAAAATGGCATTGGTTCAGGATTTGTTTGGGGATCTTTATAACAGCCACGACAATGTTTTTACTCACAGGTGTTTTGATGTAGGTGTGAGGGTCAGGGAATTCTGGGAAGTGGCCTTGGATGTAAGCAGGATGTGTGCGTTTCTGTCCCGCTGACAGAGCTCTGGGAGTCACAGGTTGGTTCGTCACTGGAGCTGAAGGTGACAGAAAGAATAACGTTTATATTTTTCGAATAAAAATCCAATTTAGAAAGTGAGACTACCATTACTCATCAATTTCCCAATCCATACTAAGAGTGTAAAGCAGAGTGTGTACTTACGGGCAGTTATCACCATCCTCTGTGATCTCTTGGCATACACAGGCAGGGTGTCTGCGTTGAAACCTGCAGTGACACGAACATTAAATCAAGCCCTCTGCGTCACCGTGTGCATAGTTGATATGTCGGCGCCACTGGTACTTACCCATTTCAATGAGTGTGACCACAGTATCTGAGAGGGTGGGCACGCTTCTGGCTGTGTGTTCACAGTAAGCTTTGGCACACCGACCTATTTCAGTTATATCTGGAGAAGGGACAAAAACAACACTGGGGTTAAGAAACTCTGCATTTAGCTTTTATCCAGAGACTTACAGTAAGTGCAATCAACCAACAGGATACTCAAACTCTACACATGAAGGCGGATCATTTGGCATAAATAATAAATGCATGAGTCATAGAGATGATATTTAATTTGTGTGTGCAGTAATACTTTTTGGTGGAATATGTGGAAGCACACAGGGTGGATACAGCAGAAAAAAGATAGGACAATATTGGCTTTTTATTGTAAATGATGATTAAAAAGACTCAATAGGTTGATTGTGATGAGTTTCCATGATGAGGTTTATGGAGAATCCTGTAGTGAGTAGGGGTGGGTACCGAGCCCCGGTGTTAAACGGGCCCCGGGGCTGAATTATTAAAGGCCGTGGTACCGTTAAGCTCCGACGTTATCGGTCTTTTTATCGGTACTGGAGACACGTAAAAAATATATGTCACGTGTATTATTGCTAGACAAACATTATATTGCAGTTTTAGTGTCGCCAACTCCGTTTCTAATATGCAAAAAGACTGCAAAATGCGTTCTAGTATTTTCGATATCCCTCGCCCGTCTGTGTGCGAGGGGGCGGGGCAGTTTACACACACGCAGCTGCTCCATGCAGCAACACACACACGGAGGAGATGGCGGAGAGATTGTCCCCGAGGTGTGGTTAAACTTTGCCCGTCTCGATGCTCGTTGCCTAAAGTTCAATAAGAGTTTATCATGTAAGGGCGGTAACACGAGCAATTTGTCTAAACATCTTGGAGAAGTGCACCACATCCAGACGGAGGAATGCACCGGGTTCGACTGTCTTTCTAGTAGCTCTGTAGCCCCATCCACGAGTAATGTGTCAGGTGTTATGTATGCTAGCAGCAACACACAGAGTTAACTCAATGATACAAACATGGGTTAATGATTAGAGGTAACTGAGTTATTTATTTTGTTAAAGTTTCAGCTATTCTGTTTACAGTTCTGTCATCAGATTATTTAATACGATTTGTTAAAATATTGTTGTTTCTTTTGATGTGAAATATTATGCATTTAATTTAAATAAAAAGCAATGTTAGTTTTGTTTAGTTAGTTGAACTTATTTTTTTCTCCAAAAGAACCGATAAGAGAACCGTTAAAAGACCGGACCGATAAGCGGTATCGATAAAAGTAGTCGTACCGTTAAAACCTTAACGATACCCATCCCTAGTGATGAGTCATATAGGGAACAAGCTTTCTATCATGTTATATTAGTGAAAGATAGAGCCTGATTATAACATCCGCTGACAGTGGATGGTGTTGTCAAGTCAATCCTGTCACTGCTTTCACATTCAAATGCGCATTTGACTCATGCAGATGCAGGAAGCCGCAGCACAACAAGTTCAAAGTGTGCTCAAAGCAGCAAATAAATGATGTATTGAATGTGGAGCAATGTGGACTTGGCCCACGTAATGCGGTCGGTACCAGGGTTCGTACTGATCCAACAAACCCAACTCAATGTCATCAACAATAATGAAGAATGACCGCCATTACATTCAATCACTATCTACACAAAAAGGGGCCTGCACACATGATTTCAACAGAGAATGGTATTCTTTTTGACCAAAATCTCGGCACACAAAAGAAATATTTGATAAATGTGTGATCTTGCACACATTGAGATAGACATGACTGCGCTTTAATGCGAGTCCATTCAAATGGAAATGAGTCACACTCTTTGTAATCTTGGTCCACAAATAAAATGTGCATCTCTAAGGATAAATGAAGCTTCACTCTAGTGTTGATACATACAGCTCTGCATCATCTCAGTGAGCGTCTCTACGGCTGCCTTCTCGGCGCTCTCGAAGCCGCTCTCTGTCAGCAGGGCGCTGACCACGACCTGCAGGGTGCGGCGCCGCGCCAGGTGGTAGTTCTCTGCTGGGCTGGTGGCGGCTTTACCCCCACTCCCCCGCTGGAACACATACAAGGAATAACACATCAAGTAGGTGAGAAGAAAGGTCCCCAAGAGGACAACCGATCATCACAGTATGAAAGAAGAACAACATAACGTTGACTTAAGGGTGGGAACAAAGCTCAGTTACAACAGTCCAATAATATGAGAGTATGACATTACAAGGGTTTTAATGGTCCAAGCTAATTTAGTTAGCAGACTAAGAAGTTTTCTACCCGGAAACGTTTTGACCTTAAGTTTCTTAAGATGTTCTGAGCAGCAGTGAAGAATAAGTACAAGTAGCCTTAAAGGGAAATACTTAAGTTCAGAAATGCTTGAATGTGAACTTAATTACAGTACATCAGTTCATGTATCTTTCGCAGTCTTTCCCATGACATTATTCTGCTTGATCAATAACGTCAATGTTAAAGAGAAAAACAATTATAGATACTTTGCAAACTACTGAGTATATGATAATACTCAAGTAAAATACAAGTATGTTAACTGTTCTTAAACTACAACTTTAGTTTATGTACTTCTTGTTAGGTATTTTCCCCCACTGCTTGTTGACAGGCTTGAATTATTATTACAGGAGCACATGTAGCTACACATTAGCAGGTGTAACGCAGGGCAACACATACAGATAATTGTACCTACACTAACAACCCTACTGTACACATCATTTTAGTCACATTGTTATCTGGTAAATATAGAGATAACGAGTCTGCAGCGTTAGAAACATGTCCACATGCCTTTTTTCGCGACGGTTAAATGACCATTCATTAGCTTTTACATGCACATTAGTAACATTAGTACGGTGATGTAGCTAACCTTGTCGTCTGTGATGAGGTACAGCAGGCTCATTGTGTATTTAGGAGAAGTTATGTTAAGTTATTGAGAGACACATTCAACACAGACGAGTGTCTTCCATCTAACAGCTAACAGTTAGCAAAACACCTACAGCTCAGTTAGCTTCATAATGCTAATGACGGGGAGTATAAAAGCCGTCTCTTACCCCTCCTGCACTCAGTGCGGCCCCCGAGGCCACCGCAGGGTCCGCCATATCTTATTTGGTGTACTTTTTCTCGTTGGAGTTAAGTAATTTAATTCTATCGTAACAAAACATTCATTTCTTCGACGGCAGTTTTAACCGCGGTTAGTAAACAAGGATCTATTTCGTCGTTTCCGGTTTGCGTTACATGGGCGGAAGTTGAAATGAACCCAAGATGTATTTACTGCCGCCATCTAGTGGTTGTTTGTAGAATTACACACACTGTCATTCTGTCAGTGACTTGTGGACACTGATGCCATGATGGTAGTTTTATTCAGTTACTGTACTAATGTTTACTCTATTTGTCTAACTGCTTGAGTTACACATTTGAGTTACTTTGTGGATCACATTTGCGTTGCTGAAGATCAATCAGCCAAATATTCTTAACGTAACAAACGTTTTCATTATGCAGAATGGGCCACTTTAGAATAATATAACACATCCGGATTATAAATATTGAACAACTAAACACATCATCCTCTATTATTTAATTTATATTTATGCTGACAGGAATACATTTTCTGCAGAATGTGTACTTTTACTTGTATACTTCAAGAAGGCCTACGTTTCGATTACAATATTTACATCCTTTACATAAGTAAGGAACTAAATGTAACTCTTTAACCTGTAAATGAGTATTTTTATTTACAATCTATTCTTTATTATACATCTATTTGATCTTTTTGCAACATTTAAAAAGTGCTACTAATAAGGCCTGATTGAGGTTGCTGAAAAATAGCTTTATTCGAGTGCAAAACGAATTTAATCACACACATTCAATTTTTTTCCCAACACATTCATCAAGTCACATCCACAAGTATCTGCTGCCCAGCAGCCAGACATTACTATAGCCTGCAGTGTATATCATTTCTTTCATGTTTAACCAGATCTGAAATAAAAAAACGAGTACAAAGTGACAAGTTCAACGTGGTGATTTAATTCAGCACCATTACCATAAACATTTTAAGTGTTGTGTCCATTTACACCAGTAGAGGAGGGTTTCTTTAAGAACCAAGTAAGCGGATGGAGCTTCTCCTCCGGCCCGTCACCAGATGTTTGGCCTTGGCCTCCATCAGCTCCGTCTCGTACACGTCATCCTCTTCAGGGCTGACCATGGTCATGTCTGGCTTCTTCTCCTTCTCCATGATGAGCTCTCCTGGAGCGTCCTCAACAGTTTCCTGCTCCCCAAACGGCAGGAGAACAGTTTCCACCAGTCCTCCCACGACTCCCAGCACCACCAGAGTGGAGCCCAGCATGTAGAGCTTCAGCATGCTGAGGCTGGGCCTCTGGGTCAGCATCTCCTTAGCAAACGGGATGATCTCTCCAATGGTTTCCATAGTGTGATGCTTTATAAGAGAAGGACAAAGAAAGAGAATAACAAGACAGAAGTTTGTTAGAGAAAACTGTCAGAGAACTATTTGTATTAAAGTCTTTTGGATACTTGATATGCATATACTCACTTTGTCACACACTCCAAACTCTTTTTGGAGAAGAAAATACTTTGTCTTAATGTTCGGCCAAGTCAAGAATTCACAGGCAGAGAGATAAAGGCAGATCTTGCCATTTAAAGCCAAGTGGAGCCAGGCCACCTCCCACAGTGGTGACGGCTTCATGAGGCTTACTGACAATGCTTTTTGGAGTTCAGGGCTTTGTTTGTGTAAGAGGGCATGGGTCTCTAGGACAAGAAGTGAAGCAAATCTTCCCTGTAGGTGAAAAGCAGATGCAGATACATCATGCTGTCCTGAGCTGATCTGACCATGAGGTCGTGTTAGAGGGTTAACACGTGTGTGTGTGTGTGTGTGTGTGTGTGTGTGTGTGTGTGTGTGTGTGTGTGTGTGTGTGTGTGTGTGTGTGTGTACTTGTTTACAGGTTTACAGGTTTAGTAGAGTTATGCCATGAGACAGCATGTACAGGAATGATTTGTGATGTCTGTGTGGAAAATAAATGTCACGTAAGAAAGTTTTAAAACCAAACTGCTCCCTGCCTTGCCAGCGCAGAGACACATAAAAGAGTGATAGTGGTGGGAAAAAAATATGATTCACTTTTATTATAATCTGTTAACGATTTGCACATCCAATTAATTTATTGTCTGGAAGGAAAAAGACACAAATAAAAGTTTCCAGAGTCTAAACTCATATCAAATCTATTTTGTTTGACCAAAAGACTCAAAACTAAAGCCATTTTAATGAACAAATGCCACACTTTATAACGTATATATCCTATGTTGATAGATTCTTATAATTGTAGGTTAGCCTATCATAGTGTATTCTACTTTATTCTGTATGTGTGTGCTCTATAGATACTCATATGCATCTATTAATATGTTTGTTTTTACTTATATTTAATTTGCAATGCCTTGTATACATGCTTCTGTAACTAAACCATTTCCCAATGTAGGCTTAATAAAGTACATCTTATGTTATAGGAAGGAAACTATTATCGAAGACAATGAAAAGCAGATCATCTTTATGTTGGACGAGCAGAAAATTCAGTATTTGTTAGCGATGGAAATTGATTTAAAAACCTTCTGCTTCACATATAAAAGTCGATGAACAAGCACAATGTGTGAAAAAATGATTGCCCCAGACAAAAAACCTCAGCTTATGTTTCCAAAATCCTCAGACTCACAAAAACCTGATGGCAGCACTTCCAACAATTTGCAAAACTAAATTGGATCCTCAAGGTTATATTCCTTCAAACAAACTCCATTCCTCCTGCAAATACAAACAGGTAGACTCTGCCTGTCTCTAGATGAAAAGTAAACACCAATTCTCTATTCCTGCAATGAGCAAACTGAACTCCATCAATACAAAGAAAGCGTATGCACGCAGAGTTTGGCTGGGATTTACTCTCCTCTAAAAGCACTGCCAAAAACCCCAAGCAGAGACACAAAGCCATGCCTCCTGATTAAGTATGGATTACAAAACCCATCAAACCCCATTTCTTCTGAGCCATATCTCAAGAACCCTGTTCCCTGGGAGCAGATGTTTTAATCCTTGACCAATAGGTGGCAGAGTTTCACGCTGTATCCAGGCAGGATTGAGGAGTAAAGGGAAGGGTGGGAGATTAAGAGAGAAGAGAGAGAGAGAGAGAGAGAGAGAGAGAGAGAGAGAGTGAGGAGTGAAATCTTACTTGCAGTCTCTGTCCTCCAGATCAAAATGCGGATTGAAGTTGATGAGGATCTTCTGCCCGGGCTCCGGGGCTGAGATCACCCACACGCACTGCTGGGAGGGCGGGTACGCGCCTGGATATCCGGGGGAGGTCAGGTAGTCCGGGGTGTGGATCTCTATAGTCCCCCCGCATTTATCTGCGAGAGAGAGGGGAGAAAGTTAAGTTAGGAGAAGGAAATTGACTATTTAACGCACTGATTTCACTTAGATTTAGGGTTTAGGAAGCTTGGGATCTCCATAAATCCACAAACATATGTTGACATCCTGCACCTCCACACAATCTGATTTATATCAAGCCTCAACAAGGTGTTAAAACACCCCATTATACTCATTTAGAAAAGGTGCCATCCTTGCCATACGCTGTGCCTGTATAGGTGAAGTCTGGGTTATTCTTCCCCTGCAAACAGGCAGCATGATAAAATGTAATTTTCTCAATGAATGATTTATGAAATTGCTCGCAGCCTGAGCCTGCATCAAGCTTCAGTGGCAACGCGCGCAAAAGCTCCAAAATTCATCTCTGAATGGATGAAGCGCGAACAAACGATCAATAATTTGTTTTTATTTCCACTATAATGTGGACATCTTAACAAAGGTGTGTCTGTGATGGTACATTGTCAGTTTGCATTGATTGTAAGGTACTTTTAAGGGTCTTTTTATATCGCTAATATTCTAACAATCGGTGTATTTTCTATAATATCCTTAAGTATGGTTCCTCTATTAGGGTGATTATAGCAGGCTAAACGCAGTATTTATGTGACTAAGTTGATCCCCTGCAGACGTGCTCTCACAGGGAGAAGCCAAGGCATTAACAGGTGAGAGGCAACAATGGTGCAAAATGATGCAAAATGAATCAGCCTGTTGTCAAGCCACATGTATTCATACAAGCAGTCAACACCTACCAGTCTGAGTCAACGAAGCAACCAGGATGACTTGGGTGAAAATGAACAATAGCAATCCACTACGCATCCTTAGATTGTACAAAACAGACATGATGTCAAAGAAAATAAAGACAAACGGGAGGGGGGGGAAACGTCCAGAGGGGGTTTACGTCCAAAAGCGACACAAATACGAGCAGATTGTCTCAAAGTAAGATATGTGGTTGTTGTAGGCTCCTCAGCATCCTGCGAGCTTCAGCACCAAATCCCCGTGTCTGTCAGGGGACAACTTGCCATCTAAATACAAAATATAATCCAAAAAGCAGGGAAGATAAAGAATCAAAAAAGGGGAAAATCCAGAAGTGGCAGTTTGCGATTCTTCATCAAACCTTGGGAAAACAGGATCGATACTTCCAAGTGGAAAATGAAAGAAGGAGCAATCAGTAGTTAACCGGTTTTCAGTGAAAAGCAAGGGTAAGGAACATCGGAGGATAAGCTCTCCAGATTTCACTCCGTATTTCTCTCTCCGCCTCTTTCTCTCTCTGTGTTCACAGCAGAAATGTCAGAATACGAAGCGAGTCGTGAAAGTATAACAGCGGAATTTCCACTCCCAAAATTCCTGCTGCGAGACGCAACCATGAAGCAGCGACCGACCGCTACGAGAGGCGCGAGCTAACTGACACCGTGCACCCTCTGTGCGCTCGCGAGTCGCGACGCATGAGAGGGAGAAAACTGCGCACGCAAACTCCCGCCGGCTGTGAGGCTGGTGCGAGGAGTGGGCAGTGTCCACATCTGAGCTCTGTCACAACCTTTATTCTAACAGAGTATGGTCAAAACGCGCAGCGGAGGATTCAAACAGGATGGACTTGTCTCTTCTTGGGGGGATCTACATGTGGTTGTTATCCCACGGACTCAATATTAACAGTTTATACATACAGGGAATGTGCTTTGGTGTATAAGGATGCATGCATTTACACAGTAAAAGGAGTTAAGTTGTAGAAAGGGAGCACATATATAACTATTATAACATAAATTACTAAATTCAATAAAACTAATAAAATATACAAATACTAAAAAGTATGCTCAATAACAATATGAAAATTATTCTGAGAGATAAAATATGTGCAGGATATCAGTCCGAAAGACCTTTGTGAAAATATGAGTATACAAAAAAAAATCAATTAAGAAAATGACAAATATCAAATTAAATTATTCAATGTAATTCAAGTCAGATCTATAGATCCGTTTTGGCTGTTTTGATGATGTACATGCAGAGAATTAGTTAAAACAATCAGATTATAAAGTGCACGCGGCATTTTTTTAAATGTGAAAACCTGTTATTGCATATTTTTTTTAAACAACGCCTTAATTAACTTGTTAAAAACAAAACTTAACCAAAAGATGTTGAGATTTGAAGGTTATTTAACTTAACCCTCCTGTTGTCTTCGGGTCAAATCTGACCGATTTACATACTTTCATCAATCATAACTTTTTTGTTTTACATTTGATTGCATTAAGGCTTTATGATATCCTTCACAGTAGACATTTGAACACATCAAATTACTGATCACCACTTTCATTGCATTTTGGATGATTTAGTCAACTTTGTAACACCCATGGTGTTCCCGGTCAAAAATGACCGCCATTAAAGAAAAGGAATTTAGTAACCATCCGATCGGATATCCAGATGCAAAAAACCACACACACACACACAAGCACGCAGCACGCACACGCCACACGCACACACACACACACACACACACACCACACAACACACACACACACACACACACACACACAAACACACACACACACACCACACACACCACAACCCAGCACACACAATACACACACGTACACACGCTCGTCGTATGTGCGCCGCTCCACCACATGCGATCACACCTGGCACACGCTAATACATTTTCAGCTGTCTATTCTTGGATATCATTTACTGCAGCTTCTTCATGTGATACAGTAATCTGCATACATATATTTACAGTATTGTAAAGCGTATGTTAAATAGTTTAATTTGGTGTATTTTTTTAATAGTTTTGTTGTTAATGTGCATGTCAGGTTTAAACAGGACCGTCAAATATTTATCCGTCGGAACACTCAATAGTTATAAGGGGGTGCTGGTGTGGAATCGAAGATCTAATTTTAGGAGGGTTATACTGATGAAAAATATCGATACTTTATTGACTTAAGATGTAA